CTTGGCTCTGTTAACATGGTGAATTACATTTATTGATTTACATGTGTTGAACTATTCCTGCATTCCTAGGGTGAATCCTACTTGGTCATGGTGTATAATTTTCATGATGATTTATGCATTCTGTTTGCCATTATCTTATTAAGGATTTTTGCATCTATGTTCATTAGGCAGATTGACCTGTAGCTCTCTTTCTTAGTTGCATCCTTCTCCAGTTTTGCTGTCAAGGTAATACTTGCTTCCCAGAATAAGTTTGGAAGTATTGCTTCTCTTTCACTTTCATTAAAGAGTTTGAGAAGTAGTGGTGTTAGATATTCTCTAAATTTCTTGTAGAATTCAGCTGTGAATCTGTCAGGCCCTGGGCTTTTCTTTGTAGGTTTTTAATCACATCTTTGATTTTGTTGATTGGTATTGGTTTATTTAGTATTTTTATATTTTCTTGATTCAGCTTTGGTAACTCATATGTATATAGGAATCTATCCAGTTCTTCTGCATTTTCCATCCTACCAGAATATAAGTTTTCAGAGTAGGTGTACATGATCTTCTGCATTTCTGCAGGGTCTGTTGTGATTTCACCCTTTTCATTGCTAATTAGGTGGATTTGAGTCTTTTCTTTCCTTTTTTTGATCAGGTTGGATAAGGGTATGTCCATTTTTAAAAATCTTTCCAGGAAACAACTCTTCAATTCATTGATTCTTTGTATTTTCTTATCTTAGCCACCTGTTAGGGTTGATACATTGTGTCAACCTGAGTCTAGAAAGAAGCCTAACTAAGAAACTCAGCAGTTCTACATCTTGGGGTGAAAAGGACATGTCTTTCCTGCTCTAGGAAGTTATTCATTGTGTCAGCTTGAGAAGTTTAGGTTAACTATGTGACTCAGTAGGGAGCCAGGGTCCTTACTTTGTATTCATCCTGAGCCTGTGCAAGAGGAGGGCACAGAGATGGTGTGGGTGTTGGTAGACAGCCCATATACAATATAAGGAGGAAAAAGAGGCTTGCCCCACCATTTTTGCTCTTGTTGGTTTTGCTGTCTTGTGACTCCTTGAAGTGTTGTCCCTGTGCCATGCCATCCTGCCTTGGAGCTAGCTGGTTATATACGGAAACCTCTACAAACTCTAAGCTAAATAGACCTTTCCTTCCTTAACTTTGGGCACTGGGTATTTTGTCTCAGAATGAGAGGAAAGTAACAAAGTCACCTCCAGTGTGTTAATTTCTCCTCCGATCCTTGTAATGTACTCCCTTTTATGAGCTTTTGGCTTAGCCTGCTCTTCTTTTTCTACAAGTTTGAGGCTCACCATTAAGTTTTTTATTTGAGCTTGCTGTATTTTCCTGACATGAGTATTCATCGCTATAACTTTCTAAAAATTCATCCTATTGCAGATGCCTTCTCTGACTACAGCGAGTGATCTCATCCTTTTCGTGCTTAGGCCAAGTTCTGCAGTTAGCCTCTGGAACTGCGGCTAGGTCTTAAGAGCTCACGTATACTTACTAAATTATTGTGTTTAATGAATGTTTCTGCATTCCCCACATGCAGGGACAGATGCTCCTATGGTCTATCTATGTAGTCCTTTCCCCAGTAGCATTTTGTGAACTTCTTCTTTTGTACAGAATGTGTTGCAATTCCTTATCACACTTCGCATATTCAGAATGCCATACATTAACCAGGCTCACAACTTATTTTCTCAATTGAGACATTTATATCATTTTGTATGTTGGCATTTTGTAAAATGCTAAGTTCTTAGCTGCAGTTTAACTTGTATTTCTATTTCTTGTCATCACCTGCCCGCTCTCTAGTGGAAGCATTAAGGAGCAGTGGGACAGCTGGAAATAGAAGGAAGGAGCTGTAAAGAACACAGATAACATGCAGCATCCACCAGAGAGTAAAATGTGTTTTGGTTTTTACCTTGAACTATCATGCTTTGTGTTTGCAATGGGGGAATTTTATTCTTTATTTTATGCTGGTCAATTTTCTGATAGTTTGGCTCACTGGAAGTACTGTAGCCATGTGCTAATAACAACATTTCAGACAACAACAAACCATAGGTACCTATATGCAACTGTGGTCCCATAAGATTACAATGAAGCTAAAAAATAATGCTGTTGCAAAGTGATATCATAGCCGTTCCAACACAGCACAATGCATTACTGTTTGTGGTGGTGCTGGTATAAACAAGCTTACTGCACTGCCAGACATGTAACAGTGTACAGGGGTGTACAGTATATAATACTTGATAATAGTAAATATATGATGAATTATATATTTGTGAAATGTATTGGTCAGAAAGTGTGGCCAAGCACCTGATATACACAACTTAAAGGAGGAAAGGTTTATTTTGGTTCAGTTTCAGAGCTTTCAGTCCATAACTGGCTGGCTCCAAGGCAGAAACATCTTGGTAGAAAGCATGGGGAAAGATATGCCCTTCAAAGGCACACCCTTATTGATCTACTTTCTCCAACTGGACTCCTCCTCTAAATATTCCATTCGGCTGTGAATGCGTCAGAAGTTTGACCCACTGGTAGGTTATTGCCCTGATAGTGCAGTCACCTTTACATGTCTCTTAATCCAGTCAACTGACAGTAAAAATTAACTATCACATTATACCATACTTTTTATCTTTAAAGTGTACTCTTTTTACTTAAAAAATTCACTGTCAAACAATATGCTGTGTTTTAGTGGCAGCAGCCACTTGTATCTTGTTTTACTGGATCCCTGGATTGCACCAGGAGGTTCCATTGAGTGGCTGCTGTAAACCGTATGAGCTTGTGTAAGTGCACTGTGGCATTCGTACACTGATGAAATTGCCTAATGATATATTTCTCAGAAAACAGCCTGGTCATTAAACAATGAATGATTCTATTTACATGCTAACCAACCTTTCACAATTAACTTGCAATTATTCTTAATTGTTGTTGAGAAATAGCCTAAGCATATGCCTTTTTCATATACTTGCTATAATAAATGACCCTAGGACAAATATATATTTTATGCTAGGCACAAAATACAAAAATATGCATAGTTCCCCAAATAATGGCCAATCACTTTCTGAGTGGTGGAAAACTCTTCCCCACACCCCCACCTGGGTCTCTGCTCCCAGCTTGCTCCACATCAGAATGATTTCATTCTCACCTTCCCCTGATGCTTTGCCCTGGTCCCCCAGATGGGTCCTTATCTTTGACATTGGGGGTTAGAGTAATTGCCCGCAAACCATCAGTTTCATTTTATTCTTCTAAGGTAGTCTCAAGCTTTAGTCCTGATAAGCATATTTTTCCTTGTTCTTAAGCCTCAAATCCTACCTTACTCTTCAGGCCTAACAGCTAGATTAATGTCTTATTTTTGTGGGTAGCAGGGTCCTCATCTCTTGGGGTTCCACTTCTCAGTTTGTCTTCCCAGAACCTATTTTGCCTTAAAATCAGCCTTTGTTGTGAAGACCTTTTCCTGATGTGAAATTTTCCTATAGGTAATCCTTTGCTGAAAAAAAATATGATACACCTCAAGAAATTCATCACCGGAAGCAGTATTTTATTAGTTATCTTATTCAGGACAACTACCAAATATTGGGAACTAGCTTTCCCTCATACAAATATAAAGAGGCATTCTTCTGACCAGAATATCCTTTCTGGCCTTAACAACAACTTCCTAATTGCTCCTGAAGTTCTCACTTCTGCTTCTAGGGCCAGCAAAGATGTATCTGGGGCTTCCTGAGGTGCCCATTAAGTGGATATTTCCAGGGAAATTGTGCTATGATATATTATATCTACCTGACACAGCACCATGCCTCCTACCCTGAACTGTGTAAACATGAACCTGGAATTTGTGATGAGGCCCAAGAACCTAAACGTTTAAAATACTGTTTTGTGGAATATCATTTTGAGTTCCAAATAACCAATTCAAAGCTATGATATCTTTTCCAATTCTGCTCCATAGATAGCCAAATTATTTCAAAAGTATTATCTGTGCATTTCTATTATTGAAAAATTCTAAATGAAAACATCAGTTGCCATATAGGAAGACAAGAAATGGCTAATTTGATTTTGGTTTTGATTATTAAATCAAACTACAGTATTTTGTAGATGGAGTTAATTTCTATTCTCCCATCAGGTAAACAACAAGGAATAAAATTATGACTTAATTTTCAATCTGGAAGATGGCCTCCCCACCTAAAGCCACAGATAGTACTCAGTAATACTAATTATCCTTGGTCCACAAACAAGAAAACTGAATAAAATAGAAATATTTGAACCAAAACCAAAATGGATAAAAACTTAGAGTTTCATATGTAGTTATACTTTAGTATAGTATAATGAACTAGAACAAATGTAGTCAAAATTGAAATGTAAAAAAAAAATCAAACAATGATAATGCTAAAAAGAACTACAGGAGAATTCTTAATAATTTTGAAGTGGGAAGACATTCTAAGAATGACACAACACAGAAGCTATGAGAAAAATACTGATAAATGTGACCACATAAAATATTTTTAAAATTACCATGTGACAAAAAAACTTAATAGGTCAGAGTACAAATGGAAAAACACTGGGAAAAATATAGGTGCTATTCACATTTAACACAAGAACCCAAGTCTTTAATCCCTAAAAAAAAATCAGTCCAGTACATAACTAGGCAACAATTAAGCACAAGTAATTCATAGGAAACACATATTATTTTAAGCATATAAAAGGAGGCCGAATCTCTGCTATAATAAGAGAAATAGAAATTAAAACTGCAACTTCAGAGATCTACAGCCTCACTTGCAAACACCTTGGCAGTATTTCCATGGGAGACCCTGAGTCTTGGATTCCTTAACTCTCAGAAATTGTGTGAGAGAATGAACCTTTGTTGTTTTGACCTGTGATGTATAGCGTAGTTGTTACAGAGCCGTGGGTAACATCTATCTATCTATCTATCTATCTATCTATCTATCTGTCTATCTCTGAACCTCTCCACACACTCTCTCCCAGTTCCCAAAGAACGCTGCTGATTCTTCTGTTTGGTTTGTTTCCAGGGATGATGAACCCAGTAAGTCTCTATGGCAACAAGTGGAAGAAGAGGAGGAGGTCAAGAGTGGTGACAGTGTCTCTATAGGCTCTGACAGGCAAGAGGAATAAACAAAAGGAAGACAAAAAGTATGTCAGAACATTCCTTACACAACCCTCAAGTTACTACTTAGTACTTTCCTCAGAATCAGCTGGCTTGAACACATTTAGCTGGTTCCTTTCAGGATACTTCCCACCATGAACTTCCTTAATCTCACTTTCCTTTCAGCTCAGGCGATACTCCAGCTTGTAAATAAGAGCTAGAGATGCAGGAGGGTTCAGTGCTTCCAATACTGCAGTGTTAACAAGGAAAGGTGTTAGCATAACTGGTTACCTTTTTAACCACATAATTTTTAAAAATAAATGTACAAACTTTTGTTTCAGTAAACCTCACTGTACACATTTTGGGGCAGAGTATGTAGTATTCAACAATTTATATAGCATTTATATTTCTCTTTCTCTCTCTACCCCTCTTCCAGCCCACTAACCACCCTCACTTTCACCCTCTGATTTGGTAGTGTAAGTTCTAAAAACTTTATCTCTTTTTTTTTTTTGGCTTTTTTCTGGTACTGGGAATCAAACTCATGACCTTACGCTTGCCAGGCAGGCACTGTGCCGCTGAGCTAAATCCCCAGCCCCCTAAAAACTTTATCTCTTAACAGCATGGAACTATTTTCAAATTTTTGTTTTGAATTAACATATAATGTTTGTAATTATTTGTAGGATATGCAATTTATTCATTATGTGTACATTTCAATAATATAAATTATTTTAATTCATTTGTAGTGGACACCTTTTCAATGTTTATATGCCTTCTTCACTTTCTTGGCTGAAACTTTCCTGAAACTTTATGCTGTAACCATAAAGAATCGAACACTTCCTCCTTCGTATCATGAGTGTGCCTGATGCATGCCTTTAGGGATATACTTTTCTCCATTTTTAGATGGTGTGGTTTATTTAGAGGTCATAACTCATATCTTAGCCTTGTTTGTAACTCTACTGACATAGTGGTCAGTTAAACACAACAGTTAAGATAAAATGTATTAGCAGATATTGAATGAAGGAATGGAAGTGGGGAAGAAGCGGTGATGAAGAGATGGATGTGTGGTAAGTAGCAAGAATTTGTCAAGATTTCCCAAAGTGTTAGACACTGTGCTAGATTATGTATACATTCCTAGCAAGAAAGTAAAGGAACTAAAAATCAGAGAGATGTAGTAACACGCCAGAGTTCATGTATTACTGTGTAGTAGACTTGGAATAAGTTGCAACTGGATCCATTTGACTACAAAGTCTATGGTCTTACCATAAGTGCACATATAATAATTCTGTTGAATATAATCATAACAAAATATATTTAGCAGAACATCTGTAAACAGTAATATCCTGAGGAGAACAATTTAGAATTGGAATGACTTAGACCTACATCAATTTGATTATAAAGTCTATGGTCATACCTAAAAACCTTTGAGCTGGATCACTAGAAATTAATACAGATGTTGCAGATAAGCATAAATAGGTTATTAGGTTTGGTTTAGCTTTTTGGCTGTGCTGGGAATTGAATTCAGAGCCTTCTATGCCAAGTTGTCCAATCTGAGCTTGAAATTGTGTGATGCTCCATCCAGAGTGCTGGGATTACAAGCATAAGCCACCATTCCAGGCTTCGGTTATTAGTTTTCATATCAGGTTTGCCTTAACGCAAACTGATTGTCTAAGGCCATCACTTCTCTGGACCTGTGGACAGGACAAGGCTGGAGAAGAATAATTTGCCTAGTCATTAAGCTTACTTAGCAGAGACCTGTGCCTTAGATCTACAGTCTGGCGTAGCAAGAAAACCAGTGAGTACCTTTATTTTCCAGATACAAAAGGCTTTACAGCAACAAGCCAGAGGGTCATGAAGTAGTGGTCAGCTGCACTACAATTTGCTGCTGAGATGACAAGGGACAGAAAATACAAATAGGGCAATATAGGAGGCCTCAGTAAGAGGCACTGGGTGATCCCAGTGTTGCTGGGTTCCTGAATAGGGTCACATAATTTCTTTGTTTGGAAGCCCTCAATTAAGCAGGACTTCTAAACCTACAACTGTAATTTCAAACCACAAGAGGAAATAGAGTTTTCTCAAACTTTTATTTTGCTGAGGAAGTGGATGATTTAAATAAGTCTGTTTGACAGATACCTATCTGACTTCCAAGTTCCCTTAGGTTTTTTGCATAAACCTATTTCCCTCTTGTTCTAACAGGATTTATGTATTCTACATCTGGTAGTCAGCAAGCATATTTTTCTTCCTTTTTTCATTGAACTTCTGCCCATACACACATACAGGGTCTCATTTTTAATAGCGGGATTATTCCCTGTGTGTTTAAATACACAGGAAACAGGAAATCATCTAAAAGAACACAGTGATCTCATGGTTATATCACTTTTCCCCACAATCCCATTTGGAATCTGAGACAAAGACAAGATTCTGGAGCTTATAGCTCAGAGTTACTCAACCTGAGAGACTGACCTTAAGTTCCCTTTTCTTAACATAGTACAAATTAAGAAAATTAAATAGTACTTTTATTTCAAGAGACAGGAAAAAAAGAGGTTTTTTTTTTTTGTTGTTGTTGTAAAATAAACTTCTCTTTAGCACTAAGAAATATCAGAAATCACTATCATGTAGTTGGTCTGCTACAAAGGGTACCAGGGTCAAGAGAAAGCCTTTCCCCAGAGAAGCAGGAACAGTCCCAAGGCATTCAAACACAGCATAGGTCATGGTTATAGGCTGTGTCAAAGAGGTACCCATAATGTAGAAACCTGTATTTCATAAGCAGTAGTATTTCTTAATCACGTTCCACAGAATCATCAGCAGTTCCACATATGTTGGGCATTATTAGGCCCATTGTATAGATAAGGAAATGAGTTTGGGCTTTTAAGGATTTAATTTCCAATTGGGAAAAAGCTTTTCTCCCAGTTGAAAATTCTCTCTCTCTTTCTACATGGGTTAGTGTTTCCAAGGATACTGTCATATTGCAACCTTGGAGAAAAGCTTGAGGACATAACCTTATAACATGCTATGAATGGAAATCCACAGGCTCCATCACTGAACTATATCTGAATAGGTACAGAAGATGCTCCTGGGGACCCTGGGGAGGTGTCTGGAGTGCCTCCTCCTGGGGAGGTCCAGCTAGGCAGTAGAGTCTGCACAGTGGTAGAATACTCAAAGCTGTGGCATTGAGGCCACCTACCTGGAGCTGGTATGCACAATGAAGGAGCAGAGACATTACAGTCAGTGGTGTAGGGGGAGGAGGGAGAGTGAAGGGAGTAGGAAGAAAGGCTGGAGAGGGGCTGAGGGGAGAATGGAGCCAACCAGATCTAGATAAGTGGTCAGCTGATACTCTCCAAGGGACAGTGAGGATTTTCCTTATGAGAAAGGCCTCATCAAGGCCATTTGCAGAGCTGGTGATGGAGAGCACCTAGAAAAGAACACCAATACCCATCCTCCCTATTTCATCCTGTGGCTGCATGCAATTCTGGGGTCCTGCTCTATTCTGAGGCCCAAGCCTTTGTTTCCTCTGGGTCATGTTGTGAACTCTCCCTGCCCCTTTCTGCTTACTTAGCTCCAGTTAGTTAAGAGACCCCGACTTCTATTTTGCCCCTTGGAGCATAAGGAAGGAATAGGAGATTTTGTGGTCTTGTGGGTAGGAAAGAGACACTCTCCATGTACATTTTCCCAACAATCTTATACCCCATTTGCACATGTGGGTGCAATTATTTCACTTATGAGTACAGTCTGTAGTTAAATCCATTTACCTATAAAAGCTTTAAGTTTATCTTCTTATGGCTGCATAATACTCCATTGTATAAAAATACCACATCTTCTTTATCCATTCCTCCGTTGATGGGCATTTGGGCTGGGGATATAGCTCAGTGGTACAAGTGCCTGCCTGGCAAGCACAAGGTCCTGAGTTCAGTTCCCAGTATCAAAAAAAAAAAAAAAAAAAAAAGAAAGGCTGAATGATAATTATAGCCATAGTGGTGGGGCACCTTCCTGGTAAGCACAAGGTCATGAGTTTGATTCCAGGTTCAAAAAAAGGTACAAAAAAGATGGGCATTTGAGGTATTTCCAAGATTTAGCTATGACAAATTGCACTGCTATAAACATGGGTGCACATATATATTGCTGCAGTATGATGTTTTTAATTCTTCTGGGAAGATACCCACAAAGGAAATAACTGGGTTGAATGGGGCCTCTAATCCTAGTTTTGTGAGGAATTTCCACACTGATTCCACAGTGGTTTCATTAGTCTATACTCCCAGCAACAGTGGAGAAGCGTTACTTTTTCCCCGTGGTGCCTCTAGCATTTGTTATTAGCTGATTTCTTGATGGTAGCCATTCTTTCTGGGGTGAGATGAAATCTCAGTGTTGTTCTAATTCCATTTCTCAAATGACTGATGATGTTGAACATTTTTTCATATATTTATCTGCCATTTGTAGTTTTTCATCTGAGAATTGTGTATTCATCTCAGATGCCCATTTTAGGACTGGGTATTTGCATTTTGGAGGCTGGATTTAAAAAAATTCTTTATATGTTTTAAAGGCTATCTTTCTTCCAGTGAACATGTTTAGCCCCTTAATCAAGGATAAGGGAGCCGAGTGTGTTTGTAGTTGTGGCTGCATCTTCTAATCTGTCCCATTGATCTTCAGGTCTTTTTTTTTTTGCCAGTACCATACTGATTTTATCACAGTAGCTTTGTAGTATAATTTCACTTCAGAGATTGTGATGCCTCCTGCCTTGCTTTTGTTGCCCAAGATTGCCTTTGCTAATCTAAGTTTCTTCTGGTTTCAGATTAACTTTAGGAATGTTTTCTCCAGATCTGTGAGGTACACTAATGGTATTTTGATCAGGATTGCCTTAAATCTAGAAGTCTTTTGGTGGATGTTTTGGGGTCTTATATGTAGAGTATCATGTCTTCTGCAAATAATGATAATGTAACTTCTTCCTTTCCCATCTTTATTCCTTTTATTTCTCTTGCTTGGCTAATTGCTCTGGCTAATGTGTTGTAATAGGTGGCTTTTATCAGAGTGAGGTAAGGACCATCTATTCCAATTT